AAGCAGGGTCATTTGGGCCCTAAAATGTGAAATTTTGACTATTTGAAGGTTTTAAAATTTTGTAAAGGGGCTACTTATAGTTTAGCCCAAAGTCTGAATTTTTAAATTTTGTAAAAGAATTTTTCCTCGTGACGGCTCAGCTCTTAGTTTGCATTCAATTTTTCAAGAAGCAAAATGTTTTATTGTGATTTTCAATCACATTGTAATTCTAAGGTTCTGATTTCTGAATATTAATACTGTTACATCGTACAAAGTCAAACATATTGAACGCGTATATAAAAAAATACAACAAAAACGTGACTTCATTTTTTTTGTTTATATGTTGAAATTCAAGAAATGTTTTAAATTTTCTTCCAGTAAAGCAAAATGGTTCCTGCTTACTAGAGAGAAGGGAACAGTTCTGCATCACGAAATATTCGCGTAGTTTTTTCTTTTTTGTGGAGAGATTAGATTAAAAAGGCCTAAGCCCAGTGTACAAAGATTACAACATAAGTCATAACTCTACCTCATGTGGCAAAGCAAACTCAGAGAAAGCCCAAAAACTAGCCATTCAACAAAACTAAACAGAGACTAAAACACTTTAGCTTTAAAAAAATTAGTATGGACCCTTCCATAGAATAATTCCTGGAAGAAATATAGCAATGGATAGATGATTTCTTCGGATATGCAAATGGACTGAAAGTAAAGGCTCATATCACTACAAGAAAACATGCCATTTTCCGACGGAATTTCCGACGGACATTAAGCGGTCGGAATTTTGCCACCGAATTCCGACGTATTTTGGACCGATTTTCAACCGGAACATTTCGGTCCAAAATCGGTTGAAAATTCCCGATGAAAACAATATCCGTCGGAATATGGTTGCAATGATTGGTCGGAAATCCGTGAAAAACACATTTGGTAGGAYTTCGGTTGAAAATTTGTCGGAAACTCATTTGGTAGGAATTCGGTTGGAAAATTTCCAACGGATTTCCAACGACTTAATAATTTTTAAAAAAACATAATTGCCGTGGAAAATCCGTCGCAAATCTTCCACGGATTTTCCACCGATTTTGAATTTTGGATTTTGACCGCCAAAACTTTTGAAAATCCGCTTAAATTTTCTGAAAGAATTTCAATTTCGCGGTAAATTTTAAAAATCCGACGGATTTTATTTCCAACGGCACTATTGGTTGAAAATCCGTAGGAAAATGTCAATAAATMATACAAATCACATTTTTTCTCCTTCATTCTCAAAATTTA